TGTTGTTATTGTTATGTTGTTGTTGTTGCTTAGTTGGTTCTAAAGTCTTCTTTTCAAATTGATTGTTTGTTTGTGTTGTATTGTATTGTATTGTGTTGCTGTTGTTGTTCCTATTGTTATGTCTATGTTTTCTTTATCTATTGTTATTATTTTTGTTATCGCCTTATTGTCATTTTTCTTCTTCTGCAGTAAAAATACTCCTTTAATAGAGGCATTCCTTAAGAACGTCACACCTTGCCTTCAACAACAACAACAATAATAATAATAATAATAACTCGTTATTGCTCCTCTTTATCTCTTTCTCTCTCTTTCTTCCTCTCTCTCTCTTTCTTCCTCTCTCTCTCTCTCTCTCTCTCTCTCTCTCTTTCTCTAGTCTATCAGCAGATCTATTACCCCCCATCATCATTTTTTTTGATTCATTACACTTGCATTTATTTTTTCGATCAGTTATATACATATACATATACGTTCATCTAATCATTCATTCGTTCGTTCGTTCGTTCATTCATTCATTCATTCCTAATTCATAAATTGATAGAGGTGTCTTTCCAATGGAGTGACTCTTATTTAAGCAGATTCCCCAGAATACATGACAAAGTGATTTAAAATTCAAGTTTTATACAAGAAAAATAAGCAATAGCATTGAAAGTTTTGTTCGTTCGTTTGTTTGTTCGTTAGTTCATTCATTCATTCATTCATTCATTCATTCATTCATTCATTCATTCATTCATTCATTCATTCATTCATTCATTCATTCATTCATTCATTCATTCATTCATTCATTCATTCATTCATTCATTCATTCATTCATTCTGTCAATCGTGACGTCGTCATCATCTGGTCTGTTGTTGTTTGTTGTTATACAATAACACAGTTACATGACATTCGCGAAATATTATATATAGGTATAATACTAATAACATTAACAACAACAACAACATCAAAAGTAACATTAATAACAACAAAATGCAAAAACCAACATTATCAACAACAATAATAATGCCAATAATAATAAAATCTGCATAATTACTTTGATAATGGTGATTAAAATTCCTCTCTGCAAATCAACAACACAGCAACAACAACAACACAGCAACAACAACAACAACACAGCAACAACAACAACAATAACAACAATAATAGTCATATTATCATTTTAACTTTTATTTTATTACAACTAATCGATCTTCTTATTAAAGTCGGGAGGTGATTTTTTTAAAGTAGAAGATAATTTCAACGGTTTTGAGCTTGCTTATTGGTTATCTCTCTCTTTTGATATCTCTTTTCTCTCTCTCATTCTTCTCATTCTCTCTTCTCTTTTCTTCTCTTTCTTTCTTTCTTTCTTACTCTGTCACTCGTTCTTTTTTCTGCCTTTATCACCTTCGTATCTACCATCCCTCTCTCTTTTTTTTTCTCTCCCTCTCCCTCTCTCTCCCTCTCCCTCTCTTTCTGTTTCTACATAATTTTCTCTTTCTCCCTTTATCATTCTCTCTCTTTTTTTCATCTTTCTCTCTCTTTCTTTTCATACTTTCGCCAATCCCCGTCTGTATTTTGTTTTTTTATACCTATCTCTTTGTCACGTTCTTTCATCAATTGAAAGATCGTTAATACCAACTTCATTCGTCTGCATTTGTTTCTCTGATACATACACATCTGCAACTCAGACAGACAGACCGACAAACAAACAGACAGAGACAGGTGAGAAAGAGAAAGACAGACAGACAGAAAAACAGACAAACAAACAGAGACAGAATGAGAGAGAGAGAGAGAGAGAGAGAGAGAGAGAGAGAGAGAGAGAGAGAGAGAGAAAGACAGACAGACAAAGAACGTACACAGTATACGCATGAATTAAAACCACGCATTACGCACGGAACTACATCGCACATGATAGGCGAAAACCATAAGGATCTCTTTGCAGTCAAACCCAGTCACTGCAAAACAAGACAAGAAAGCAGACACTTCTAACAATTACACTACCATTTTGTCTTAAA